CCTGTGAAGGCACGAGGAGGCTGAGCAGGGGGGAGGTGACAGAAGGGGACAGGGGAAGTCCCCGTCGTGTCCCTTGGGGGATGAGGCGCGTGGGAAGGACCGAGTGCTCCCGCCTGGGACTGTCCTGTGTGACGCTTGAGGAGCTTGAAGGAGAAAACTGAATGAGAAAACAGCACCAGGTGTTTCCTTAAACAAGAAACAAACCCCCTGATGCTTCCCCATGCAGGTCCCCGTGGCCTTCAACGACGCTTCGTTCAGCTTCTCGGAGGAGGAGTGGAAGAGCCTGAACGAGTGGCAGAAGGAGCTGTACAGGCACATCATGAAAGGCAACTACGAGGCCGTCATCTCCATGGGTAACCACGGGCTGGGGTCTGCCCTGAGCCCCCTGGGGCACCAGCTTTTCCCGGGAACTGGTGGATGGACGGAAGCAGCGCCGCGTCCAGCAGGAGCGGGGAGGGGGATGGTGTGCTGGTTTGGGAAGGTGTTGCACAGCCCTGGCAATGAGCTCAGCCCTCACCAGCTCAGGGGATGGGTGGAAAGATGTCCCTGGTGGCCCCTGTGGCCAGGAGAGCACCTGGGTTGTGAGGAGGAGGAGGAGGAGGAGGAGGTGGGGAAGTGAGAGGACCCTCAGTCCAGGCAAAGCTGAGGAATAGAGGAGTTCCTTTGTCATGCCAAGGCCCACAGATCCACTGCTCTGGGTGCATCAGCCTGCTGGCCCCTTCGGGCAGCAGAGGGGTGCCCTGTGCCCTGCCTCTGAGGGTCCTTCCAGCCCTTTCCATGGCTCTTCCATGAGGAAGAGGTTTGCCAGTGCTGCCTGGGTGCTCTGTCTGGCCCCAGGGAGTGAGTCCTGCTCGCTCTGCTGCTGGGGCAGAGCTGGGGAGAAGCTGCCGGCGAAGCTGAGCTCTGCCTTCTGCTTTCCCCTCAGCAGCTCAGGGCACAGCATTCCCAGCTGAAGGAATGCACTCCACTCGCTCCTGCCAGTCCTGGCTGCAGGAATTCCCTCTGGGGAACATGTTGCCTTCACAACATGTTCTCAGAAATGACCTTGCCTTGGCTGGACAGTGGGTGGGAGCACAGACACCGTCCCTGGCACTCAGGCACTTCCCTGTGCCAAGGGCAGGCTCACCCACCTCCCTCCATCCAGCTCTGCCCAATCCAGGCCTTTTGTCCTGGATTTTCCCCTCCTTTCTTCCTTTATTTCTTTGAACAGAGGTCTTGTGCAGTCCCTGTGCACCAGGGAAGAAGGTGAGGTGTAAACACTGCCCCCCATTCTCCTGTTTACAAACCCATCCTGTGTCCTGTTCCTGAGGCACGGGAACATAATGGTCCCAATGAAGGGGATCTGGGCACCTGAGCCTGGAGCTTAGAAAAACGTGTCTGTGCTTTATCCAAAGGTTTCCTTTGAGAAACAAGGTCTAGGGGTTTGGCTCTGGTGTAAGGCCAACAGATCCACCAGAGCAGGGGTGGAATTTAATCCCCAGAGACTCACACGTGTCTGGAAATGAAGTTTTCCGCTCTCTGCTCGAGGGGAGAAGGTGATTGTCCCCTTTCCCAAAATGCATGAGCAGCCTGTGGCTTGGAGGAGTAGGAGGAGCAGTCCTGGCTGGAGGGAACCACACGGGGAGGGCACTGCTGACAGCTCTGGTGCTGTCCCCGAGCTGAAGTCCCCATTGCAATGGATCTTAGGGAGGAGAAGACAGGAAGCCTGGAGGTGAGTGCAGATGCATTTTCTTATTCTCCTCCTCACACTGCAGGCTGGGAGTTGCTCCTCACCTGAGCAGAGTGTGCTCCTGCATCGCTCAGTCCAGGGCCCACACAAGGTGAGAGGTGCACACGGGTGGGAGCACCTTCCTAAGCCTCTCTCTTTCCGTCCCCCAGCGAAGGAAGGTTGGTGGGTGAAGGTCTGAGTTCCTGTCCCACGAGGGCGGGGGAACCACCCTGATCCTCTCTTTCTGTGCAGACGCTGCCATCTCCAAACCTGACATGCTGTCCCGGATCGAGCAGGGAGAGGATCCCAACGCCGAGGAGCAGGAGGACTCCGAGGCTGGGGAAACCCCCACAGACCCCAGCAGTGGTGAGCCACGAGATCCCTGGGACTCCCTGGGGTTGAGGTCCGATTCATGGGCGATTTTTAAGTCCTCCCAGGTGGGGAGGTGGAAGCAGATGTGGGGCGGTTTTGTCCTCTCTGTCCCCGGGTGCAGGGGGACTTTCCCAGTTGTCCCCCCCCCGCTGCATCCATCCCTGCTGGAATCCTCTGGAGCAGCTGGGAGGTGGGAGTGTGACTCCTGTTGTTTTCTCTCGTGCAGAGTTTTTCTTCCCTGGGCCCGACGAGAGCTCGTGGGGTAAATACGAGGAGGCTCTGGCCGAGAGCCACGAGGGCTCTGAGGAAGAGGAGAGCATGGAGGTCCCCAGTACATGTGAGTGCACTGACCCGCTTTGGGAAGTGTCCCTTGTCTGGATGTGCTTTTGCTTCTCATTCCCAGGAGCAGCTCAGCTGTTCTGGATGATGCTTTTCCAGAATTTCAGTGTTGATAGTTACTTTGAGTCGCTGTTTATACCATGGGAGACCCTTCTGCCCCAGGCACTGTACAAACCCATGAGGAAAAGAGATTTTACTCCCCTTTCCACAATTTTTTTGGCCTTTATCCTAAACCACAAGACCTGTCTTTTTACATTTCCTGCTGAGGAACCCACTTTTTCCCTTTGGCCAGCTATATATAGCTAGATTATATATATCATATTATAATATATTTGAGGGCAGGAAGGTGCTGGAGCGTGTCCAGGGAAGGGAAGGGAACAGGGAAGGGTCTGGAGCACTAGGAGTGGCTGAGGGAGCTGGGGGGGGGCTCAACCTGGAGAAAAGGAGGCTCAGGGGGGACCTTTTCACTCTCTCCAACTCCCTGACAGGAGGGAGGAGCCGGGGGGGGGTCGGGCTCTGCTCCCAGGGAACAAGGGACAGGAGGAGAGGGAACGGCTTCAAGTTGCACCAAGGAAGGGTCAGGTTGGATACTGGGAGAATTTCTTGCCCCAGAGGATTGTCAGGCATTGGAACAGGCTGCCCAGGGCAGGAGTGGAGTCCCCATCCCTGGAAGGATTTAAAAGCCATGTGGCTGTGGCACCTGGGGACACGGGTCAGTGGTGGCCTTGGCAGTGCTGGGGGACCAGTTGGATTCGATGGTCTCAGGGGGCTTTTCCAGCCTTAACAATTCTGTGACTCCAAGTCAAATCCCTTTGGCCTTGCCTGTGTCCCGGGACAGCGGTGCCAGGCACTGAGCTGGGTGTGCACAGCAGAGCCCACCCGTGCCCCGGGGGAATTGTGGTGTAAATAACGACCCGGTTCTTGTCCCCGCAAATGACGAGTGCTCTGCTCTGCCAGACGAACAGCCCTGCGACGAGGAAGGCCCCGAGAGCCTGGAGCTTCCCAGGTCGTTGGCAGGGAAGTGGGAAGAGGTTTTTTCCGGCCCCGAGGAGGAGATGCAATCGAGCAGCAAGAGCCAGAGCGGGTCGGACCCGCAGCAGCGAACGGCAGCGGGCAACGGGCTGAGGCGCTCCGTGCGCCGCAGGAGGGACTTGGCCAAGAAGGATCCTCCCGAGGAAGGAGCCACGGAAAAGGGGCCCTACATCTGCTGCGAGTGCGGGGAGAGCTTCCTGGACAAGCAGCTCTTTGCCACCCACCAGAAGGCGCACGCCAGGGAGGAGGCCTGCACGTCCCTGGAGCGCGGCGAGGGCCCCTGGCAGAAATCCAAGCCCAAGGGCCAGGGCTCCTCCCGCTCCAAACCGTCCAAGCGCCCCGACGGCGACAAGGGCTCCGGCTTCAAGTACGGCCTCGTCAGGCACCAGGTGAACAACATGGTGGAGAGGCCTTACACCTGCTCCCAGTGCAAGGAGAGCTTCAGCCTGGAAGTGAGTCTCATCCTGCACCAGAAGCTGCACACGGGGAAGGGCGACGGGCCGCTGACGTGCACCTACTGCGGGAAGGACTTCCGGGACCTCTCCAAAGCCATCCGCCACCAGCGCATCCACACCGGCGAGAGGCCCTACCAGTGCACGGAGTGCGGGAAGAGCTTCATCCGCCGGGATCACCTGCTCAAGCACTGGCGGGTGCACACCGGGGAGACCCCCTACCAGTGCCCCGTCTGCGGGAAGCACTTCCGCTACAAAGAGTCCCTGAATTGCCACCAGAAAATCCACTCCCGCAACCCGCGGCCCACGGAGGATTCGCAGCTGGGCCTGGAGTCGGCGGGGACCCAAACCAAGCATTTCTGCGTGAAAAAAGAGACTACGCAGTAGCCGAGGTGGGGCCGGGGCAGGAGGGCTCGCGGTGACCGTGACGGCGCAGCATGATGGCGGGTGACTTGTATCGCAGCTAATCCATGTGGTCATGCTACAAAAGCTTTGGTGAAGCATCCAAGGAATTCCTCTTACAAACTCTGACCGGCCGGCCCAGGCACCTCTGCGGCCCCGCGGGGCCCCGTGGCTGTCCCGCCGCGGCGGCGGCCCCTGCGCAGGCTTGGATTTTGCCTGTAGAGAATAATCCCGAGCGATTCTCCGGGGCCCGTATTTAGCAGGTGTTCCCCCACCTATCTTTGTGCATATTCAGGAGTGACAAGCTTTCGCTTTCTTTTTTCCACTCGTTTCACTGCAAGGCTGGAAGCGCGAGGAGGGAGGAGGGAAGGAAGGTGCCATTCCCAGGCAGCTGGTCGCCCGCTCCCGTCGTGCCGCCGCGTCCCAAGAGGCCACGAGGCCGGGATTGGGATGAAGGGAGGAGAGGCGAGGCAGAGAGGTGGGTTAGGGCACGACACGGGGTTTGTGGAAGGCGGGAGAGCGGAGAGGAGAGCGCGGCAAAGAGCGAGGTGAGAGAAAGCAGGTGCAGGAGAAGGGGCTGAGGACATTGGAGCAGGAGGAGTCGGGAAGGGCAGCGTTTGGAGGCGTGGTGGGATCACGTCTCCCTTCTTTGGAAGGGTGTCTCTGGCACCAGCCAGGCTGTGGTTTCCCTCTGGCCCGAGGGGACGGCGCTGCTGGGCCGACACACGGACTCCTGTCAGTGAAGGTGATTTTATTACTGTTTTTTAACTGGGTTTGGTCTCACTCAGGTAAGTCAGACGAGTGAAAGCAGCTTCTCCTAACCCCTGTAAAGAGCTGTTTGGTTTTTAGTTAACCTAGAAGTAGTCTATTATTATTATTATTATTATGAACTATTATTATTATTATTATTAATTATTATGATGATGATAATACTACAAGGAAAGGTGTGACACTATATTTCACAGTTGCTCTAAAACACTTCCATGTTATGCGATAAACGCCCAGAGTTTCCCAGCCGTTTGTGTAAATATTGGTTGACTTCTGGAGCTGTTGGTGTTGTTCCGAGGTGCCTGTACGTGGTGTCTCTTCGCTGTGTATCGTCAGCTGCTGGTTCGTGACCGTGTTTTGTAACAACTTTTGTAAAGTCTGTCAATACAGTGTTTCCACTCTGAATTCCGTGTGGGATGAGCCATGGCAAGGGATTCCTGCAGCTCCCTCGCCCTGCTCCTGGCTGTTGTTTGGGAGCTTTTCCAGGTAATTTGTGGGACAGGTGAACGGCACAAGCCAAGCTGAGCATCCGTGGAGCCAGGCCTGGCAAACGAGGCAGCTCCGGGTGCTGCGTCCGGCATTTGGGATTCGTGGTTTTACCTTTTCCTCTGCTGGAAGCAGATTTTGGGGTTATGATCCGTGAGCCAGCCTGTGTCACGAACAGATAGGGCTGTGGATGGATGAGGGGTCACTTCCCTCATCCCTCTGCAGTGGGACAGAGCCGGGATATCCCGTGCCGGGAGAAGCGCCGGTGGCTGTGGCTGCTTCGGAGTTGGGATTGTGGAATCCCAGAATGGTTTGGGTTGGAAGGGACCTTAAGGGGTGCCCCGGCTGGTGCCACACACAGGGTCCTTTGCCCTTCCCAGGAGCTCCCCCACAGCCCAGTGTCTCTTCCTGCCAGAGCCTAGTTCAGGAGGATGTTCCCCTCTCCCAGGTCTCCGTGGCAGAAACCCACCGGAGCCTCCCCAGAGCTCCAGCAATGCCCGAGGGGTTGTTCTGGCTTGGGACCACATGTGGGAGGTGGACAGGGCAGCCCATGGGTTGGAGCCACTGTGGGGATGTGGCACTTGTGGCCCACACATCCCTGGCTTTGGCTTTGGCCAGGCTGGATCCCCTCCCATCCCAGTCCATGCCAGGGACCTGCAGAGCCGGAGTGAGTGACCCCAGAGCGAGGATCCCCCACACTCCAGAGCCCCTGGATGGGATGGGGTGGGGCTGCCCCACACGCAGTGGTGGGGAGGAAGAGGAGGAGGGAAAAGGGGAGAGCTCGGGGAAGAGCATCCTGTGGGATCTGGGCTGGTGGTGGGCCGAGCACGGCTCCGAGCACACGGAGACTCCAGGAGGACACACGGATGTCCCTCTACATTGCACACGTGTGTTGTGTGTATAAACACAGCTACACACAGGGCCTGAGCCGGGGGACAGGACATGGCACTGCATGGACACGGCTGCATCCCCATCCCGCTCTGGCTGATCACGACAAAGATCCACCCATGGGAATAAACACACCTGATAAAAACGCCTGGATCTCCACAGGGACAGCTTGGAGCCTCCCAGAGCCAGGATCAGGCACTCCCTCCACCCAGCAGCTGTCCTGGATCCCAGACTCCCTAATTGCACTGGGGTGTACAGACTCCAGGCAGTGACACCCTCCATCCCAGAGCTGGTCCTGGCATTCCCTCCCAATGGATCACTCCTGGATGGGGGTTGCAGATCCCTGGGACAGCCCAGGACAGGGGGGTCTCTAATTGGGGGTCCCCACCTGCTGTCACACCCCTGTACCCCTCCAAGGCAGGGTGCCTCATCCTGTCCCCCCTCATCCCCTCCCTTTTCCCACAAACCAAAGGGTTTCCTGCCCTTCCCCGTGTTTGTTGTTCCCAACTTCCCCCCATTGTCACCCCAGGTCCCCAAAGTCCAGACTGGCAGTGGGGCCATGTGACAGGGGCTGTGCCAGAACAGGAAGGGATGGGACAGGGCAGATGGGATGCCCGGGGATGGAATGAGGTGGGACAGGAGGGATGGGATGAAATGGGATGGGATAGGGTGGGTGGGACAGAACAGGGGACAGGGGGACAGGATGAATGGGCTGGGATGAGATGGGACAGGATGAAACTGCATGAGACAGATGGGATAGGATGGGACAGGAGGGCTGGAATGGGATGGGACAAGATGTGGGATGGGTAGGATTGGATGAGACATGACTAGGCAAGACTCAACAGGATGGATGGGATGGGGACAGGGTGGATGCAGTGGGATGGGATGGGATGGGATGGGATGGGATGGGATGGGATGGGATGGGATGGGATGGGACAGGGTGTGATGAGACAGGATGGATGGGATGGGATGGGATGGGACAGGGGGGATTGATGGGACAGGACGTGGTGGGACAGATAAAAGCAGCACAAGACTGGACAGGGCATGACAGGATGGAGAGGGATGGGATGGGGTTGGAGAGAATAGGACTGGATGGGATGAGACAGGATGAGGTGGATGGGAC